TTAACAGGCAATTACAGTTAGTTAATTGGAAAATCTTATGCAGCTTTTGATCTCCAGGCACTTTTGTGGGAAGAGATGGTGGGAGACAGGTATTGGACTAATATGCTAGCAAGTGAGATGTTTTAACAGCTGGGTAAAACCAAAAGCAAACTCACGGCCATTGGGACAACACCGACTCAGTACCATCGAGGGTAAGGTAGTGTGTGGTCCTGTATGTTCAACAGTTGTCCCTGTTGGTTGCTGAGACTGTAACTCTTGACGGGTGTGGAAAGCCTCTTTGTCTTTGTCCCATGGGAGAGCTGGTGGTTTTGAACTGCTGATCTTATAGTTAGCAACCCAAATCATAACCATTATATCACCGCTGTATGATATACTAGCTAAAAAGTGTCCTCACTGTTCCAAGACTAAGTCAAGAGCTGACCTAGGCCACTGTACTGTTCCAATTGCTTTAGGCTTTTGGCTCTTAGGGAATTTTCCAAAATATATGTATCTTTTTATAAAAATACAAAATAGACTGCTTAGTGGGACAACCTATGAGCAGAAAGAGATCCTGCAAGCGGTTATGAAGCATCTGTTCGTGGAAACAGGCAAAGGGCAATCTACCGCCTCTGCGAGGAAGAGCGCTCAGAGACCTTCCTGCTGAAAGCTCGGCCCCATTGCCACCAGGATGCTCAGTCTACTGCCGAAGCTGCAGCACGCAACAGTAACATTTCCTGTAGAGGCAGGTGTTCATAATGAAAGATGGATACATATTTACTCTTTAAACTTGTGTGAATGTCCTCAAAGTTTCAAAACCTGGCCGAAAAATGTCACGAATAGTACAAGTGTGTGTGTGTGTGTGTGTGTGTGTGTGTGTGTGTGTGTGTGTGTGCGCGCGCATGAGGGTTAAGGATGTCAAGGTGAGGGAGAACTTAGAATTAGTCCCTAGAACCAATTACATCAAGATTCCACAAACACTCCAGGGAAGTCCATTGATCCTTCTCTTACTTTTGGGTCCCCTCAGCATTGGGTTATTTTCTCTGTGCCTTATGAATTACAGAATATTAGAACTGAGACAAACCGCCTTGAAGGAATTTCTTCTGATCCTATTTAAGCTCACTGCTACCAAGTCAATTCCGACTCATAGTGACCCCAGAGGGACAGGACAGAACTGCCCCTGTGGGTTTCCGTGACTGTAACCCTTGGTGAGAGTAGAGAGCCTCCTCCTTCTCCCATGGGGTGGCTGGGGGTTTTCAGCTGCAGCTCACCGTAACAAATGTGAGGAGGGCCAGGACTGGGTCGTGGGGCATGCTATTGTAAAAGGGTGGCTAGGAGTCAGAACTGACCAGATGGCACCTAATAACAACATCTCATTTAAAAGAAGTTTCACTTGAGCATTTCCCCACGTTTTTAAGGGTAGGAGAAGTTCTAAAGAGCTGGCATCTTTTCACTGTGTTTGTTGTTGTCTCTGTCCCCCGCAGTCACGCTGTGTACAACAGAACAAAGCAGGGCACCGTCCTGCGCCAGCCTCACAATTGCTCCTATGCCTGAGTCCACTGTTTCAGCCACTGTGTCCATCCATTTCCTGGGGGGCTCCTCCTTCCCTGCTGCCCCTCTGTTTTCCCAAGCACGATGTCCTTTCCCAGGGACTGATCTCTCCTGGAAATATGTCCAAAGTATTTATGACTGAACCTCTCCATCTTTGCCTCCAAGGAACACTCTGGCCATACTTCTTCCAAGACAGATGTCTGTCCTTTGGGCAGTCCACAGTCCTTCCGACCTTCTTCTCCAGCACCGCAATTCAAACGCACTGATCCTTCTTTGGTCTTCTTTTATTCAATGTCCAACTTTCATATGCATATGAAGTGATGGAAAGTATTTTGGCTTGGGTTAGGCACACCTTAGTCCTCCAAGTAACTTCCTTCTTGCCTTTCAATACTGTAAAGAGGTCTTGTCAGTAGATGTGCCTAATGCCACTTTTGATCTCTTGACTACTGCTTCCATAAACATTGATTGTGGATCCAAGCAAGACAAAATCCTTGACCACCTCATCCTTTTATTCCTTTATCATGTTGTTATCTATAGGTCTAGTTTCAAGGATTCTGCTCTACCTGACATTATGAGTCGTCATCCATACTGAAGGCTGCCATCCTTGACCTTCATCAGCAAGTGCTTCAAGGCCTCCTCACGTTCAGCAAGCAAGGTTGTGTCCTCTGTGTGAAAGGTTGCTAATAACCCTTTCTCTGATCCTGATGCTACATTCTTCTTCATCTAGTCCAGCTTCTGTTGATTTGTTCAGCACACAGGTTGAGTAAGTATACCAAGAGGATACAACCCTGAAACACACCTTTCCGGACGGTCAACCGTGCAGTATCCCCTTGTTCCATGTGCACTACTGCCTCCTGCTACACGTATAGATTCCAAAACGAGGACAACGGAATGTTCTGGAATTCCCATTCTTCTCGAGGTTGTCCATAGTTTGTTATGACCCACACAGTCGAATGCCTTGGCATAGTCAATGAGAGACAAGTAAACATCTTTCTGGTATCCTCTGCTTTCGGCCAAGATCCATCCGTTATCAGCATGATATCCCGTGGTCCATGTGCTCTGCTGAATCCGAGTTGAACCTGCTGCCACCATTGGACATCACCTAAGACCTCCTTTGGTTACGGGCATGGTTCTCACTGAGTCTTGTACTTAAAAGAAAAAATCAGTGTCAGTGAATTTTTGTTCAGTTTGTTGTGTATCTTGACTCAGGAACTAGATGTTAAGCTTCACATAGACAGTGAAAGATCTTCTTTGGTACCTAAGAAACACATGGCCCAGGAACACACAGACGTGGTGCGAGTGAATCCCAAGTCCGGAGAGCAGATCAGACATGGGCTTCTGCTTTAGGGGCGGAGCACTGGTTAGGGGCAGGCAGGGTGGGTAGTTGGGTGGGAATAAACTTTTATTTCCTGAGCTACTATATAGACTACTTACATTTTAAATCGGTAGTACTTTTGTTCACATGCATGTAGTGTAATGAATACTGCCAAACGTGATGGGTGAGGCTAGATGGGAGCGAAGTATAATTAGTACATTTTGACAGGGATCACTCAACAGTGCATTCTCATTAGTCCAACGATTCCCTGTACAGACATTCACCCCTAAGAAACAAGTCAGAAACACAAGGAAAGATTTGTAGACCAGCCTGTTCACTCTGGCGGTGTTTGTAACGTAGTGTAACGATGAAGGCATGCTCAAGAGTATGGCAATGGCGAAGTGAATTACGGCACAGCCAAAGGCTAGACTATTTATGACATAATCTTAACTCGATTAGCCTTGTGGCATGTATGTGTGTGTAACATGTTTTAAAACCTCAAGAGTAAATATCTTTTATTATCAATCACCATTATCTTTCCGTAACTTGTAGATTTCCTTCAACAAGTGTGTTTTTGTTAAATGGGGGTGGGGGTGTGTGTGGAAATGACAATAAAATTTTTTTCAATCGCCGAGTGCCTGAATTCAATTAACCATAACAAACAAACAAACAAATATGAAAAGCCCTGAAACCAGCCTAGAGAAAAGGGAAGACGGGGCACATTCGTGTTACCAGCAGTTCCGCTCTGTCACACAGGATCTGTTGTCCCCACCGTTCAGAGCTATCTGAGGACCGTGGCTACGAGGGAAGGGCTGGCTGTGCGTGGTTCAAAGTGTGGCTAAGTAGCTCTTGCATTTCTCCCCCACTCTCTGCCAGAGCAAGCATGGGGGCCACCACCCACAAAATAAAATCGAGTGTAGAGAATTAAAACGGGGTCAAGATGCTTTGAGTCATACCAAAATTCACAAAACTGTCACAATTAGGAGAGTCACCTGGAAGGTACTCTTATCCTGATAGTACAGGTAAGGAGACGGAATTGAAGGAAAGTCTGAGGATTGAGAGACCAATCCCTGGGGAGGACATCATGCTCAGTAGAGCGGTGGTCGTGGTAGTTAACAATTTCATGTCAACTTACAAATACAAGGGCAGAGCCTGGCCTGTCCAGCAGGTCACAGCCTGAAGGTGCCTCCCTGTGGGCGTGGCCTCCTCATGAGGAGGGCCCTGGGAACCTCCCCTCTATCTCTCTACCTTCACCTCCTGCCGATCGGTTGATCGGCTACTCTGAGACCTCCCAGAGCCCTAGAGATGCATCGACCGCCACTGGACCCACAGACTTTGCACCCACCGGCTGGTGATACTGCTGCACTTGGCGTCACTGCTTGTGACTCTGTGAGTCCTGAGGGAGACTTATGGATTAGAATTGGACTTATGAACTTGAGTTGGACAGGGCTGGGGCATTTTTGCGATATGTAACTATTTCTTGATATCAAGCTCTTTCTTACGCACATATGAGTATCACTGGGTCTGTCTCTCTAGTCAAGCCGGCCTAGCACAGCCCTCAACAAGAGGGTGGGCACAGTGGCTGCAACACTGGGAGCAGGCATAGGAACAATTGTGCGGACGGCACCGGACCTGGCAAGCCTTTGGTTCTGGTGTGCATGGGGTCACTATGGGTTGGAATAGAAACTATGGCACTTATCAACAACAACAATAACATGAGGATCTGTTATCAGTTCTTCAATAATGTGCAAACAAAATAACACCTTGAATCCTGGTCGGACTAATACGAAGGACCTGTTTCCCAATACGCTTGAAAAAGAAGTCCAACCAAAAGGCAGTGAATTTTTTTTTCAAGGAGGGATGGGAGAGGTGGAGTGGGGAGAGGAGACAGGTGTATAAGAATACAGACAGTACTACTCCTCAATCTCTGAACCCCAAAAACACCCACCCAGGCTTGCGGTGGTGTTTTCTCCTTGAGGATCCCAAAGATATAAACCGAACAGAGGAATTAAGAGTTGATAGAATGGGTTCAAAAATGACACCCTGTATGCCCAACTATGTTACCACGTTCGCATACTCTGGGTACACACTGCTCAAGCAGCAGATGTAAGGGGGCTCAAGAGAGGGGGGCACATAGGACTGCAGGAAGTGTACTCACCCAAACTCAACAATTTGATGTCTGAGCCTTTGCAGGATGGAGAGCCCGAGAATACTGGGAAATTCAGGCAGCTCACTTGAGAGTTCTCAGTTCAATGTTGGGAGTTCCTCTTGAGGCAAATCCTAAGGGGTTAAAAATATGTTTTAATTGTTTTCTATTTCAATATAGTTTACATTGAATGTATTAGAAATCAGGGGTCTTTTTTTCTGAAAAATTAAATGACCATTTTTCTATCATGCACCCAAGAAGCCTTGTGGCACAGTAGATTACACACAGGGCTGCTAACCACGAGACCAGAAGTTCAAAATCAGTCACTCCAAGGGCGAGTTCTGACCTGTCCCCGAAGGTCGCTATGAGTCGGCATCGACTCAGTGGCAGTGAGGTGGTTCAGCACCCTAGAAGTCACGAGGTGCTGTTGGAGAAATAAGGAACCACAATATATATTTTTTTTAAACCCATTTTCTTTCATTTGCTGCATTTTCCTCTCTGACTTCAAAATGGACATGATATAGGGGTAGGCTGTTGCTGCCATACCCTCACAGAGACAAAAGGACCAGACCGTGCCCTCTGTGGAAGTGATAGGGGCATCGGCTCATGACCTGTCCTCTCTGTTTGAGGGCAGGCAAGGGTGAGTCTTCACTCGTGGATCACTGGGTCATGGATCAAACACTCTTTCCCACTGACAGGCAACAGCGTCTCAACAAGCGTGAAACCCACTGCCCGCCTTCATCATAGATGGACACAGCGATCTAAGCTATGCGACCCTGCCCGGAGAGTCCTATGAAAATGAGATTCCGGGTCAAGGAGATTCTGAAAAGTCGGGATACGACCAAGAGTGGAACAAACAGGATTTATACTCATGCTAAAGATATTTCAGATCGTGTCTTTCAGACTTTAAAATGCAGGCACAGCACAAGGCACTGATAGTTCACATCTGGGGAAGAATCTGTCAGGCTGTGAGATTGTTCTTTCCCCAAGTCCTGAGAACCCTCCTCCAGGACCTGAGGCTCGGGGAACGTTCTGTGTGTCCCAGCTTGTAACACCCAATGTGGCACAGAGGCTGCACCTCCAGGCCAGTCGCCTGCTCTATAGGATCTTTGGTAAATCAGTTCACCACTCAAAGAGCACTCTCTGGAATAGTTGGACTGGCCGTAATGTTCACCCAGTTGTTGTCTCTTTCTGCAACTCCTTCATCTTGTGTGGGCCGGGGGTTGGGGGGGCTGCTTAAGGTTGTTTCAGTACAGTTTTGAGCCAACGAGGTTAGATGGCTACCCACCCCATCAGGGTGCTGCACGGTGGCAGCTTGGGCATTGCTATGGTCCTGGAAGTTACGCTACTGGTTGACCAGCAGGGCCACCGATGGCGGGCAGGTTTCAGGGAAGCTTCTAGACTAGGACTGACTCGGAAGCAAGCCTCGATGATCGGCTTGGAAAATTAGCCCATGAAAACCTCATGGAGTATAGCAGAGTTTTCTGATTTAGTGCCAAAAGATGAGCCCTTGACACCACGGTCCCCCACATGGCACAGGGCCAGGCCACAGTTCGCACTATTGTACATCAGTTCACCATCATTTGGGCCGCAGCAAAGTCGGCTCCACCTGGCAAATGATCCCATCACAGCAAGGCACCTTCACACCTGAATACCTGGCAGCAGGGAATTCCATGGATCCCTAAGATCGCTCAACTGTGACCTAGTTTTCAGCCTGGCTGTCAGTGGTGTACTACAAAGCGCCACTCCCTCAAATAAACCATAGCTCAATAGCTTTTTAAACGATTTACCATTCAAAACTTATAATCCTCACCTAAGCCTGAAAGATGACTTCCTTAGTGCTGCATCATGGGTAACACCTAATAATCAACATCCCCGTGTTTCATATATAAACTATGAAAGTGAATGTACCGATTCCCAGAGGGCGTGTCTTGGAATTCATTGTACACGGTCTAGGCGGCAGAATGGTTCTTAGAATCTGGTAGAGCTCACTTCCTAGCTCAGGGAATCGGGGAAAAGTATGTAACTTTTCTGAGCCTCCCCCTCCCCCCATCTATAAAGTGGGGGTAAAGCTTACCTTGCAGGGATGGGATGGAGAACAGAGAAAACTATTTAGATCACCACGCGTGGCACATATGGTGAGGTAGAATGGTGAGCGTTCCCTCTCTAGAATGGTAAAAACTTCCTTCTACTTAACCAAGCATCATGTCCTTCTTCGGGGACTTGTCCCTACCAATAACCTGTCCAACATACAAGAGACTGTGTCTGACCTCGCTTGCTTCTAAAGAGCATTCTAGATGTGGCTGTAAAGAGGCTTCAAACATTGTGTGGGAAAATGCCTTCATCTCTTAAATTCTTTTTTTTTTTAATTTATCATCTTATTAGGGGCTCATACAACTCTTATCACAATCCATGCATACATCCATTGTGTAAAGCACATTTGTACATTCATTGCCAAATTAGGTTTTCCCCCACAAACTTTTTCAAGCCCTCTCGCTCTTCTTGCCGCACAGCGTCTTCGTCTGACGGCCTGTGTTACAGAAAGGCTTCCTTCGCTGCCCAGCTGCGGCGTGCTGCAGGGCGACTGAGAACGCTCTGACTTGGATCAGGTGCACCTTTGTTCTCAAAGTGCTCTCTCTCTGCTCGGCATCACTCGGAAGAAGCACAAATTTGCCGAATGCCATCTATCTTTTGATTTCTTGGCTGCTGCTTCCATGGGCTTTGATGGTGGGCCCAAATAAAATGAAGTTGACCGTTTCGAGCTCTTCTCTTTGATCACGAGGTGCATTGGTCTAGAGATGAGGGTTTGTGGTTTCCCGATGTTCCAGGATAAGCCATCCCGGAGGCTGCAGACTTGGAACTTCATCAGTAAGGGGTTCACGCCCCTCTTCACGTTCAGCGAGCAAACGAGTCTCACACGTCGCTGGAGGTTGTTGTCAATGAGCCTTCATCCAGTTCCGATGCTGCGTTCTTCTTCATAGACCCGCCTCCCAGGTTATTGTTCGGCAGATCGATTTAATATGCACGGTGAAAGGGTACAATCTTTTCTGGTTCTAAACCATGCAGTTCCCCTCTGTTCTGGTGACATGGCTAAATAAACACATGAATGGCTCTATCCCCTCACCCCCGACTTTTCCAAAGATACTCCCGTTTAATTTCAAGTTCCATGTCATGTTCGACTCTCAACTCACCTTGGCTAATCATGACTTTGTCCCCTCCGCCTTCTCCCAGAAATAGAATATTTGGAATTCTCTTTCTTAAAAACAAACCTTCTCCTGCAATAAGCCAATTGCCCACACCCAGGGATGCTGGTCAAAAATAACTAAAACTACATCCAAACCGAACTCACTGTCATCAGACCGATTTTGGCTCATAAAACCCTTTGTGCTGCTAGAGAGCGGAACTGAGCTGCCTGGGATTTCCTGGTTGTGAGTTGGTGGGCCCTTCTCTTGGCTTCCACTGGGTGACTTTGAACCCCAATCTCAGTTGAAACCAAGTGCAAACCTTTTATGCCACACACGGATGTGGCCACTCAAGGAAAATAAAACCCACTGCCATCAAGCAATTCCAACTCAGACAGGTCATACAGGAAAAAGTAGAACTGTCCCTGTGGATGTCTGAGACATTAACACTTCATGGGAGTAGAAAGCCTTATCTTTCTCCCATGGAACGGCTGGCAGATTCAAACTGCTGGCCTCGAATTTAGCAGCAAAACATGTAACGCACTACGTTGTACCAAAACACCCCTCCAAACTCACTGCTATTGGGTTGATTATAAAGCATGGCCACTCGATAGGGCAGAGTAGAGCTCCCCTGAGGGTTGCCTAGGCTGTAACCCATGGTTTAGAAAGCGTCTATGGGAGAAGAAAGCCTCATCTTTCTCCCGAGGAGAAGATGATAGTTTCAAACTGCTGACCTTGTGGTTCAAAGCCCAACATATAACAACTACACTACCAAAGCTCCCTGGGTACTGGTAAAGGAGCTTTAAACTGCCATGTGGCCCCTGAAGCAAGGGTCAGGTGACAGGGTCCTGGTGGTCACTGTCACAGCACTGTGTGACCATGTGCATACCACTCACCTCACTGAGCCTCACCTGGAAACTGAAGCTGGCACGAACACATGGTCACAGGAGAGTTGTTTTAAGGATAAGATGCTACACATAAAAGCATCCTGTTCCGCCAACCATCGATACCAACTGATAGGGACCCTAAGGGGCAGGGAGAGTTGCTCTGTGGGCTGACAGGAGACGGAGACTCCAGCTCTTTCTCATGGAGTGGCGGATGGCTTTGAACTTCGGACCTTGCAGACAGCAGCCCAACCTGTGACCCCAGTGCCCAGCACCCACTCCTTGCACACCGCACATAGAACCACTGCCATCGAGTTAAAAGAGACACAGGCTGATAACTTTGTGAGGTGGTGGTACTACTTTTTTTTATTGTTAAGTACCGAATATACTCATGTATAAGCTGAGTTTTTCAGCACATTTTTAATGCAATTTTGTGGTAAAATTAGGTGCCTCGGCTGATATTCGGGTTGGCTTATACTCGAGCATATACGGTATATACTTTTTAAGAGTGTATGGATGGCTAAAACCATGTTGTGGTTTTCAAATGTCACTTCTTTGCTTCGCAGAAATGAAATTAAGAAACTGAATGGGGAAATCTCAGTATTCTAATTTCGGGCATTGGGGCGTGCATAGGTCCTGAGCTGTTTGCTTGTTGTGGTTGCTGTTAGTTTGTTTTGTCAGGAATTGATTTTTAGCCCACTCAAAGGGATTTTTTTCTTCTTCTGGTACATCTCATAAGGCTCTTCATTAATGGGCAGAGTGAAAAGTAATCTCAGAGCCAGACAATATGGATTCACATCCTTTAATATTTTTGCTTTAACAAATCGGCTAGGCAAAAGAAAAATCGCTGGCCTCTTCAAGGCTCAGTGGGGGAAAGAGCGCTGGACTTGAAAAATGAAGATTTGTAAACACCCTTGACCATGACCTTCAAAAAGAATGATGCTCCACGAAGCCTTACTCAATCACTTTTTCGAACTTTGCCTCTGGAAATCAGCCAAGGCCAAAAGGCTAAACCAAACAGGGTACCCAGGGAAGGCCTGGCGTGGTCACTTACTATGAAGGACGGTC